GCCGTTGGGGCACACAAAAGAGATTGAGAAGAGATTTTACTGGTTTTTGTTGCTGGTGTGGTCCCAGTCATCCCATCCACCATGGGCCACCACGTCATCGAAGTATGTATACGCGTAGACGATTCTGGAGTACTGGCCCATAGCCCGGCCCACGTATATCGGTCCAGAACCGGTCACCTTGCATCGGACGAAAGCGAACCCGGTCTTCTCGTTAGGCGAGTTTCTATCTTGGGCCGCTATGGAACCGAACCGGGTGGCGATCGAGTGCAGCTCGCAATCCTAAGGCATGAAACGTTGCCGTTTAATGGTTTTGTTATAATTTTAAAAGCCTTAAATTATACATGAAATTAAAAAAAAAAAAAAAAAAAAACTTTCCATTTTAAGTATGTAGAAAAGCTAATTATTTTGCAACGATTAGGAATAATTTAATTTTTATGTAAATAATAAAAATAAAATAATGTAATTAAAAAGAAAAATTAAGAAAGGGAATTAAAATTAGATTACCTTATACATGGAACGCCCGTTTCCAAAAATGAAGTCTATGGAGCCTTCGATGTAGCATTCTTTGAAGTAATGGCGGCCGGCGTCGTCACAGAGGGTGTCCTGTGCGCCGTAGAATCCACACCCGGAAAAGTAGGCCTTGTCACCGGAAATACGAAACGCCGCTGCCTGCCACCCTTGCATTCCGGGCATCGGCGCCGGTGCCGTATTCTGCCGTCACGTGAACCACATATCAAATACCCATTAAATAATAATAATTATTTTTTTAATTTTACGAAAATAAATGGTAGAAATATGTAGGACAAGTAAGCTCACGGGCAGGGAAGTGTAAAGTGTTGGTGATACTTGTTATTACCTTGAAGCTGATGTTTCGGGCAGAGAAGTAATTAGCAAAAACTGTGACAGAAGCTGTTCTGTAAGTACGCAGCTGCTGCCCGCTGGGACCACGGTCACCTGCTCTGTCGTGCCATTCTATCACCGTCGTCTCTTTTCCCCCTCCTTCAAATGTTATGTACGGCTTCTTCGCCGGCACCACCACCTTCTCCCTGCAAATTTCCATTCCCAAAAAAAAACTTAATTAAAAAGCCTTAATAATACCTATAATCCCTCAAACTTAAAAGCTTTTGAGTTTATTGTATAATTTGCAGCACGGGTCTAGCTCAATTAATCAAGATATTGCCTACCAAATTATAAAACTCGACAACTCAATTGATCAAGACATAGGCTATAGAGTTATATAATTTGACGCAGGTTTAGCTCAATTGATCAAGACATCGTCTATCGAATTATATAATTCGATGATGTGGGTTAGCTCAATTGATCAAGATATCGCCTACCGAGTTATATAACTCGACGACCCAAGTCTAGCTCAACTGATCAAAACATCGTCTATCTAATTATATAACTCGACGACCTGCGTCTAGCTCAATTTTTCAAGACATTGCCTACCGAGTTATATAACTCAACGACATGAGTCTAGCTCAATTTTTCAAGACATCACCTATTGAGTCATATAACTCAACGACATGGGTCTAGCACAATTTTTCAGGACATCACCTATTGAGTTATATAACTCAACGACACGGGTCTAGCTCAATTTTTCAAGACATCGCCAACCGAGTTATATAACTCAACGACACGGGTCAAACTCAATTTTTCAAGACATCGCCAACCGAGTTATATAACTTGACTGACACGGGTCTAGCTTAATTGATCAAGACATTGCTTATAGTGTTATATAACTCGACGACATGAGTCTAGTTGAATTTATGTAAGACATCGATGAAGATATTGGTTATGGGGTTAGAAAAAGAGGGAAAGATTTGATAGGTAAAGGCGTGTGGGGAAAGTTAGAAAAAAAAGAGGGAAGGATTTATACGTAAAGGGGAAGTGAAGAAAAAAATGAATGAAATGGGAAAATGATGAGTGTTTATAATGAATTTTGGGTTTCTTGTGAAGGAAAGAAAACAAAAAAAAAAAAAAAAAAAAAAAAAAAAAAAAAAAAAAAAAAAAAAAAAAAAAAAAAAAAAAAAAAAAAAAAAAAAAAAAAAAAAAAAAAAGAGGCATTACACGTAATAACCAGGGCTGATTCGGATGAGGGTGTTGACGGTATTGTAATCGGGGACTGCATCCACGGCGGCTTGGACGGAGACGAACTCGCCGGAGATGCCTTTGACGTCCACTTTGATAAGGCGGTGGCCGGTGTGTCCGACCCAGTGGTGGCGGTGGTGCTTGGCGGCGGCTAGGAGAAAGAAAGCCGGAACGGAAATGAAGAAGAAGAAGAATGAGGTAAGGGAGAATGCCATTTTAGAGAGAGAGAGAGAGAGGTTTGGGGAATTTGAGAATGTTCTGCAAATCTATATATAAGGGAGATGATGTTTGGATTATTTTCGCTAATTAAAATAAATAAATAAATATATTTTTTCGGTCCAAAAATTAAAAAGAAATGTTTTTATTTATTTATTTGGGTTTGCTTATAACGGTCATTTGATCGGGTTACACTTACAACTACGGCAGTGGCATTTTGGTAATATCCGCTGTTGATTGAGGTTGTTTTTGGGAATTTATAGAGAGAGAGAGTAACGTTTTTTCCCGGGGAAGAGTGTCTGATTGAGCTAATTAAAATTAGTCCGTTTGAAAATTATTTTAAGCTATAATACAAAAAAATAAAATAAAATAAAAATTACCCAAATATTGTGATTCGCGTAGAAATTCATGAAAATTTTACGTTGGTACGTCATTTTAAATCTTAATTCTAGTTTAATATAGTTCACACATATATGAACGGAAAATTTAAAAATAGTGAATAAATAAAGTATATAAAAACGACAATTTAACGAGAAAAAACTAATAAAAATTTAACAAAGGGTTAAATTACTTTAATAATCATCAATTTAGTAAATAGCTAATTAAAATAGTTGAATTAAAAAAGTATTAAAATTTCATAATATTTTCTAGAGAAAGGAAAAATAAGATCATATGACTGTGTCTCCCCACCACTAATCCCAATTATGTTGATTGGTTTGGTTGAAAATTTTACTTTTTTACTTCTAAATCTGATTTTAATTCAGATAATTATATTTCATAATATTTAACATTCATTTTTTTAATATTTACGGTAATAATTAAATATCAATAACGATTAGAAATGTCTATTTAACTTGAGGTGGAGAACTTACGAAAGAGAACAGTTTCCATTTACAAAGAAATGTTATTGGCTAAGTAGAGACAGAAACGACTAAAAGCTAATTTAAAAAGTATATATTACATTTTTAGTCACTAAACTTTTAGTATAGTTTTCATTAGGTCTCTAAATTATAAAATAATTAATGATATTTAGTTTTCCAATTAACTTTTAATTAATCAATTAAAAATAATTATAATATAATAAAAATTAATAAAATAACAGCATAAAAATATAAGAGACTTTGAAACATAACGACCCGAACTCATTTTCAACCTACCAGAACTAAAATAAAAAATAAAAAAAATAATAAAATTTTAATTAAACTTTAAATTATATAATGATTTAGTTTATTGTTATTGGTGGAATGTGTAAAAAGTAGAAATGTATTTAATTTGAAGATTGCCCATACGGAAACAGAACGGAATGTCAGAGAATATAAAATAATTACCTTTTTATTTTTTATATTTATGGAACCCTCTAGAAGTTAACCAATTATAATATGAATGCCTCTAAAATTTTGTTAAAATTACAAATTTAGCATCAATTTATCTTTAAAAGGTACAAAATGTTTTATAGTTTCATAACTTTTTTAAGTTATTAATATATTTTAAACGTTTTTGAATCAATTCATCCAATAAGATATCAAATTAAAAAAGTTTGAGAATTAAGTTTAAAATTATGGAGATATGAAATCCAAGAAATACATGCTAATTATTAATATTTCTTTTTGGACCAACCGGAATTAGACTATGATCTGAACCATTCGAAAAATTTCACAACTTAATCTAATTAACTCTCTTTTTTTGGATTGGTTGTCAGATTGTTTTTTTAATTACTTAAAAAATTATACTTATTTACAATATATTTTAAATATCTATCTGTCACTCCACATAGCTAATATTGATTACAAATATTAATTTTTTTAGAAGTATAATGGGATTGGATTGGTGGATTGGATTGGATTGTTACACTGTTTTCGAGTTAGTCGGATTAATATAATCCAAAACGGTAAAAAAAAATTAGTAAATTCAACAAAATTTTTTATTTAAAAAAATTATAACAAAAATCAATATTAATTAATTTTCAAAAGCAAGATTAATAAGTTAATAATAATAATAATATTGAAACCCATAATGCTCAAACGGTTACATTATGAGTGTGACCCCACTAGCTCCAATCATGGCATTCAATCATGGGGCCCACTGTTTTTATTTATTTATTTTCCTTATTTCCCTTATTTTCTCCGATTACCAAGGAAAAAATAAAAAAACATATAACGGCGGACATATTCTCCCTTCCAAATTTGTCTTATTTTAGAATTAAAAAATTCAAATTCTTTTATTGTAATATATTTAAATATAATGTAGATGAAATTATAAATTTAAATTTTGAACTTGTCTTTTAAGTTTTTAAAATTATCTTTCTTTTTTTTTTTTTTTTAATTATTTGAGCTTATTAATATTTTTTAAAATTTATAAATAGTTTAAACCAATAAACTAAATTTTTTTGGTTCATACAATTATTAGATACAAAATTATATATTTAAAAATATATTAAACTAAAGATTAAAAACCTCAAAATTGGATATGGGAATTTAAATCTGATTCTTCGAGTAGTGTCAATGAGCTAGGTTTATATCGATATATTTTTTTTTTCCCTCACATATGATATAATATTGGACATTCTTGGCTCAAACAAGACACTCTAAACATGTGAAAGAAAGGAATTCAAATTTTAACCTATTAGTCGAGGATATCATATGAGACACTCTAAAAATGTCAAAAGATCACCCAATGCACAATGACATCATATAAGAGTCAACTTAATTCATACCTCTTCAACATATTACCATTTTGATCCATTTCAAAAATTTCTTCAGTCACCATTTTGTCATCCGTTTCAGATCAAGAGCCAAAAGCTTCGTTGTATTACAAAAAAGAATGTTGTACGTCGAGTTCACCCGTTGATGGATCGAAGGATGCTTCGATGACAGCAGAGCAGCATTCGACGCCATCAGCGGAGCCTCGAGCTCCAACTGTCACGGGGTTGGCAAGAAGCTTAACTCCTTGTTTCCAGTATCTCTTATCTGAATCAGTTCATGATGAAATGAGAAGCATTTTAAAGTAAGTATCAATTTTCTTTAAGTTTCTTTGAATGATATCCATTTTTGTTATCAAATGAGACGTTCAGACCAAGGGTGAAGGCAATACCTGGGCCTGTGGATATGACAATGGAGCTCTTTGAATCCATAACCCAATCAATCCACAGTGCAATTCCATGACATATTCCAGCCTTGCTTACCTTAACCTGAAAGAGAAACATCAATGTTCATTATATAGATCAAGTATGGCCTCAACTTGTATGTTTATTTGTGAGATCCCACATCGGTTGGAGAGGGGAACCAAAGCATTCCTTATAAGGGTGTAAAACATCTCCCTAGCAGACGTGTAACAACCCAGATCCACCGCTAGCAGATATTGTCCTCTAAAGGCTTTCTCTTTCGGGCTTTCCCTCAAGACTTTAAAACGCGTCTTCTAGGGGAAGGTTTCCACACCCTTATAAAAGGTTTTTTTTTCTCCTCCCCAACCAATGTGGGATCAAAAGACGCGTTTTAGAACCTTGAAGGTAAAGCCCAAAAGAGAAAGGCCAAAGAGGACAACATTGTTAGCGGTGGGCTTGGACTGTTATAAATGGTATCCCAGACACCAAGCGGTGTGCCAGCGAGAACGCTGGCCCCCAAGAGGGGTGAATTGTGAGATCCCACATCGGTTGGAGAGGGGAACGAGACATTTCTTATAAGGGTGTAAAAACTTCTCCCTATAAGACGCGTTTTAGAACCTTGAAGATAAAACCCGAAAGGGAAAGGCTAAAGAGGACAATATTTGTTAGTAGTGGGCTTGGGCTGTTATAAATGGTATCAGAGCCAGACAACAGACGGTGTGCCAGCGAGAATGCTAGCCCTCAAGAGGGGTGAATTGTGAGATCCCACATCAGTTGGAGAAGGGAACAAAGCATTCCTTACAAGGATGTGGAATCCTCTCCCTAATAGATGTGCTTTAGAAACCGTGAGACTACCAGCGATACGTCGAGTTAAAACAGATAATATCTACTAGCGGTGGACTTATAGACGGTCAGTTGAAACTGCCTAGTCTACTAGATCTTGAGGAAGCTTTCCCCTACTCTAAAACTCACTTTATAAGAGACCACAAGAATTTTCCAGGCAAGCTGGGGAATGAAAAAATTGCATTACCTGGCTTTTCCCACTACAGGGGCTTATTGGTTTTGAGAAATCGAACTTCATCACTGTAAATATCTCACTGAGTTCCTGAAAGTTTTCAAGACAGTGGCACCCAATCAGTATCATTGACATTCTTACACTGTTCAAGAAAGCTTTATTTGTTTACGTTTTAAACAAGTTGATTTTATATTCAAGGATTACCTCATATTCTCCACACTGCCAAATGTAAAAAGCCAGGCATGGGCCTTCTTGTCCTTCAGGTAACTCACCACAAGCTCCTAAAGTGTCATTTGTAACAGAGTGATCAAAGCCTTCGATTGTTCTCAATCGACGACGGCTGCTCCATAGATCCTTGAAACGACATTGAACGAGTATACTAAGAACTTCCATTGAATAACAAAGATAAGAACTTCCACTGAATAACAAAGACGAGTTCAGTGGATCATGTACTTTCAAGGTAAGAGAGAGATCTTACCGGCAATGACATGAAACAAGCTCGCAATATGCCTTTACTTGGCATTATTAGCGCATCATCAGATAGGACCGAATCGAGCATCGTTCGCTCCTTCCTGGAATATCAATTTAAAGAAGTTAAACACTATACTTATTTGACTGAAGTCACACCGAAAGAAACAAAACCCTCCCATAGGAGATGTTCAGGAGCTAGAGCCTCTTAGGATTATGAGATCTACTCGAGTCATCCTGAGTAGATGGGTTGATTCAAGTTAGATCCAATGTAGATCCAACTTGACAGATATAAGAATTTGACTGATATAAGCATTCAAACATGAAATTTGGATCCTAAAATCGTTGAATCGAGTAAAAACTATCATAAAGAAACCATCTGCACAACATTGCCAATAAGAATAGACTGCAATTCTGAGCAAAGTTCTTACCAAAACCGCAGGTTGTGCCATGGGAGTGCATTGTCATTACCATAGTAGAATGGTTCACTGATAAGCAAGTCAACCTAAAGATTGAACAAAAGTTGATAAGAAGAAAGGCTCAACATTCTACAAGTTAAAACTAAAGCAGTGATTACTCTATAACATATTTAAATTACGATGAACTTTCCAATAAAGAGAAGCATGCATCATGATATGGAAGGGGGAAAACGAATGCAAAAGCGAGTCAGTAAATACACGACCTTTTTCTCAAACGTATCGTGGACGGTCAAGCACGACTTCCTCTTTTCAATAACTTTTATACTATCCATAGAGATACCGTTGGCATACGAAACAGCCTGCAAATACTTGGCACCCTTTTCGCGAATGCCCGGGAACAGTGATAATACAAGCGTTTGTTTCGAAAGGCAAGCAACCATAAGTGTTAAGAAAACACTATCATCTGCAATCATGCATGCAGAGGGAGATCTTCCTTGCAACTACAAAGATTTCAAAGATGACGATAACAATGAGGTTTTGCAGATAGTAGAGTTCAATTATAAAGAAGTATGTGAGCATAATGTACAAATGATGTGATATGTTGTAATAGTCCAAGCCCATCACTAGCAGATATTGTCCTCTTTGGGTTTTCTCTTCCGGACTTCCCCTCAAGGCTTTAAAACACGGGAGAGGTTTCCACACCCTTGCAAGGGATGCTTCATTCCCCTCTCCAACCAATGTGGGATCTCACAACCTACCTTTTTGGGGGCCAGCGTCCTCGCTAGCACACCGGTGCTTGGCTCTGATACCATTTGTAACAACCTAAGCCCACCGCTAGCAGATATTGTCCTCTTTGGGCTTTCCTTCCGAGTTTCCCCTTAAGATTTTAAAACGCGTCGACTAGGGAGAAGTTTCCACACTCTTATAAGGAATGCTTCGTTCCCCTCTCCAACCAACGTGGGATATCACATATGTGCTTAAGAAATAGGGAGAAAATTGGGATCAGGGAGAAGGGAATCATACTGCATTTGTTATTGCCGTTAACATTGCCAGCCTCCATTCTCTATCTCCATAGACTGCAATTCTCTCTGGTGGCAATATGAGTTTAAAATTCTCAGCATTGTCGCCATGCTGCAAAGCCTCACCTCTTGGGATTTGAGCTTTCAGATGATATGAGAAGGTAGTTTCATCATGAGAAGCACAAATATGAACTTGTTCATCCTTGGATATTGACATACCATTGTTTGGAATAAACCAAACACACTGTTTCCAATGGTCACACCAGTCATCAGTTCCTGTTGAAATATGGAACAAGCTTAATCACTCTGTCAATCTTTGAGAAACAAACCATGTTTCTTGTCAGATTGTGTAACGCCCTAATTTTTGCCCCTAATTTTCTTTCCCTAAATGCATGCTTTAAATACATATGCAGAAATGCTTTAAAAATAAATCCATAGACTTACATGTTCAATTCAAAACAAGAATTAAAATCACATAGTTTTTGGAACATAAAACAAATTGCATTAAAAATATCAAACAACTACTAATTAAATTCAATGCTACCGCCCTATCATGATCTATCTTGACTTCCATGGCCTTTTCAGTATTCACCGTCATCCGTACATGGGAGCTTTAACTTTACCTGAAAAAATATAAGGGTGGCACGTGTCTTGAGTATTTTATGAAATACTTAGTAAGTCACCCTACTAATGGTATTAGGGCCAGACACCGAGCGATGTGCCAGTGAGAAGGTTGAGCCCCAAAGAGAGGTGGACAAGAGGCGGTGTGCCAACAAGGACGTTGGGCCCCAAAGGGGGTGGATTGTGAGATCTCACATCGGCTGGGGAGGAGAACAAAACATTCTTTATAAGGGTGTGGAAACCTCTCCCTAGACGCGTTTTAAAAACATTGAGGGAAAGCCCGAAAGAGAAAGCCCAAAGAGTACAATATCTGTTAGTGGTGAGCTTGGGCCGTTACAGATTGTCTACTGTAATTCAGTTAGATTGAGATGTGAGATTTGAAATACTGTGGACGAAAAGCACCTAATAGTAAAATGTCCCGCTGGTTTGAAAAAGAAAGGTCCCACTATTGACCATTCAATTTGAAACCCTTATATGGATATATATAAACTAAAAGGCAGAAATTTACAATTTTACTCCCTTTTGAACTTTTTAAACCCCGCCCCATATCAATGCTTGCCGTCAGACATAGATTTTACACATAAATGAATGAACACTTCATGCCAATATTAACCATTTGCATTATTAACAAAAAGAAGTCTATGATTTTGGGCCATAGCAGAAAAAAATGGCAGTCATACCAAAGGAAAATGTGTCTAATGACTCGTCTACGACTCACCTATGTTGAAAGGTGGGGATATCCATTTCGGGGCAGTGGAATAGAAGACGGTTCCCTCACGATCGAGCTGCAGCATCCACCTGCAGACACATAATAGAAATTAGTCACAGTTCGGCAGAAAATAACTAAGAACAATGAAGTGGGTTACCATGACACTAAAGCATGAACTCTACCACCGTCAGTTGCTTTGATATGCAACTCCTTTTCAGCACGACTCTCTGGACGTTTCCAAAAATCAAATTCAAAAACCCTGAAGGGTTCTGAGAGCTGGATGAACCCTGAAACAAATAGTAATAAAAACACTTGAAGATTATGAGAACCAGGTCAAAATTTTTGGTCATTACCAGCTTCACTTCTTTGGCAATTGCATCACAATGCATTGGATATTGCTGTGGCTTAACACATATGATAGGATCCATCCCTTCTGGAACGAGATGGATGGCATCACATGCTTTTGCTTCATTGTTATATAAATCATGAAGCTTCCATAAGTATGTGCTTTCAACCAGCTGAAAAGGAAATAAACAAAGAGATTCTTAAACCTTTTGGATTAGAAACTAGTTCTCACTTTCACTATTGTATTACAGCTTTATCAAATTATTACAAATTTGTAGTGTATTCAATCACAGCACATGAATGCATGCAGTCGACTGAGATATATCTGAAATCTGGATATTATCACTTTAGTTCTAGTATAGTGAAACACTTATCATTTGTAACGGGCCAAGCCCACTACTAGTATATACTGTCCTCTTTGGATTTTCTCTTTCGAGCTTCCCCTCAAGGTTTTGCAACGCGTCTGCTAGGGAGAAGTTTTCACACCCTTATAAAGAATGCTTCGTTCTCCTCCCCAATCGATGCGGGATCTCACAATCCACCCCCCTCGGGGCCCAGCGTCCTTGTTGGCACACCGCCTCGTGTCCACCCGCTTTGGGGCTCAGCCTCCTCGCTGGCACATCGCCCAGTGTCTGGTTTTGATACCATTTGTAACAGCCCAAGCCCACCGCTAGCAGATATTGTCCTCTTTGGGCTTTCCCTTTCGGGTTTTCCCTCAAGGTTTTTAAAACACGTCTACTAGGGAGAGGTTCCACACCCTTATAAAGAATGCTTTGTTCCCCTCCCCAACCGAGGTGGGAGATCTCACATCATCATTGTTCAAGGAAACTGCAAATGTAGAAGAATGCAAGTTCCATACTACAAAATTTGATCTATAACACTATGAAGTTAAGAAAAAGAAAAAAGAAACTTCCATGCACAAATAATATGAAAGGTTTTGAAGCAATTGAAGGGCTTTCTAAATACCTGGCCGTATATGGTTGCTTTATACGGCACAGTCAAGGGATTTTCCACTAAAAGCTTGTCATGTGCATGTTGTAACGTCGGTATAAGCCCCTCGCCTAACAGTTCTGAGTCCAAAATCTCACTAACCTTCAATTAATTGGCAGACTCAATCATTGAAAAGAAAGAAGAAAGTTGCTATTCGAATGTAAATGATACTCACAAGGGCATCAGCTCGAGAAATGATATCAGAATCAAACTGGAGTTCATCAGAGCGTTTGTTAATAACTTTTACTTTCCTTTCCATCCCATTAAGACGCAAGACTTTCTTCATTAACTTCACCATTGGAAGATAGGATTCACAAGCCGTAACCATTCCCATGGAATCACCCACGGCAGAGTCCATTGCCCGTGCAGCCATCATTGATAGCAAACCAGTTCCAGCACTGGAAAAAATTGATTAACCACGACGTCAGTAAACCTATAAAGATCAGTGGCAGTCTCTTACCAAATGAATGAACTGCAAACCACAATTCATAAAAGATAACAAAATTTGATCAAAAAATGCACAAGCACACAAGAATATAAACAGCAAATTCAATCGGATGACCATCTTCTTTTCATCGACTTCAAAGCAAGAAGGCTCAAAACAGGACTAAAAAAATACCCAATATCAAGAACACGGCAAGGTTTGGATATAGTCTTATCAATGGCTTCGCGAAACGCTCTGTTTCTAGTGGCATCATTAAGCATATCCAAATATGAAGTTGTCGCCAAAATGGGTTTCTGGGTATTCTCTGAAACTCCGTCAACCTCTTCTTCTATGACTACCCACTCCGAGTTACCCGTAAGTGGATCAAATTTTAGCTGGAAAAGGCGCTGAGTTGACGCGGAACTCATAGCTCGAGTTGCAGAGAACTTCAAGGGATTGAACGATTGAGGGTTCAGAGTAAAAGGGCTTGTGGGGAAGAGATAAAGAATGCGAAACAAGGATCTGGGTACTAGAGAAATAGACATGAGAGGCCGAGGGATATGAAGATCATGATCATTTGGGAATTTGGCTGCAGAAGCGGCGCCCAAGTTAACTAAGAATTATATACTTTAAAATAATAAATAACATAAAACTAATTAAAGTTCACATTTTTTGCTATTACGCAAAAAAAATACTATTAATCATTCATTTCATCCTAATTAATCCTACTTAATTTAAGCAAATCCATTTCACGCGGGTGCCATAATACCCAATCAAGAAGCACCGCTGCAAATTGGGAAATTGGTCGGAGAAGTTCGTGAAAAAAATGGCAGCAACAGCTTCATCTTGCATTTTCTGCCAGCGAGCTTCTAATTCTACCGCCAATAACCTTCTTCATTTTGTCTGCTCCTTTCGTTTCTCTATGTTTCTTCTTCTCTTATACCGGCGATTGAATGAAGGGTCTCTGATTAAATATATGGGTTCTGCAGGATGAGAGAGTTGTTGCGTTCGAAGATGTAAACCCTTCTGCCGTCAGGTATTTTTCTAACATTTGATTCAGTTTTGCAATCGACATGGGGCATCTGAAATACTTATGTGTTGATTTCATTTTCATTTCTGGCATTTCATCAGCTTCATTAGACAAAATTCATCGATTGTTGTATACCCAGTTGCTTGACATTCAATGGGCAATGCATATCTAAACCTGGATATCTAAACCTCGAATGTGTGAGCAAAAGTACTGCAAAATGTAGATTTATCGTTTACAATGAACATTCTTGGATGTGATTATGAATTGAAGTCCTTGATAACAAAATACCTTTGTGACTAGCCATCTCGAAGGCACTGTGCCGGTTTGGAATCACAAACCTCGATAATGGTATGATATTGTACATTTTGAGTACAAGCTCTATGGCTTTACTTTTGGTTTCCCTAAAAGGTCTCGTATCAATGGAGATGTATTCCTTACTTATAAATCCATGACCAATCATTTAATTATCTGACGTGGGACTCCTCTTCCTCATGGCCTCTGTAAGTCCACTAAGTATGGAAATCGATTTCCATTATGCATTTCAGAGAGTCTAGAAGGAGATATGTGCACAACTTACTAAGAAACAAAGAGATAGTGGGTTATTGTCAATCTTTGGACTGTCATTTTTCATTTGTTCATGTTCCTTCAGCTAAGAATCATCTGCATGAAATCCGCTATCTCTTTCCTTTCTACTGTTCTTCTTACTAGTAATTATGTTGACATGGATACAAGACACTCTTACACTGAGCTACCACTTTATAGGCATTACTTGGTAATTCCCAAGGACCACATTCCCACAGTTAGGAATCTCCAGAGAAGAGCTGAAGATTACTCACTCGGTAATGTAACCTTTGGTGATTGCAATTCATATATTTTTTTGTTTAAAGAAAGGGAAAGGAGGAGGCAATGGGATGGGGAAGCATGTCCTTAAAAAGCAAGAGGTTTAGTTACATGTTATAACTTTATCAAACATATTGGTATCTTTTGTCTGTATTACCATATTCTCATTCTCGAAAACCTGCATGAAGATTAGTAGCGGCATAATGCTAAGAGTGACCGTGACACCCCAAGGTCGCTTGCTGCTTAGGCACCTAGATTAGAGGGTCGTTACCATTTGTAATAGTCCAACCCCACCGCTTGCAGATAAGTTTTTAAAATGTGTCTGCTAGGGAGAGGTTTTCATACCCTTATAAAGTATGCTCCGTTCTCCTCCCCTACCTATGTGAGATCTTATACTCGTCTTCTAAAACAAGGGAAATTTTTAGATATGTAGTCAGCTTTCTAATTTCTTATAATGACTTTGCTCATGGCTGTCTTGATTATTTATGTCAGTAAGTCACATGTTAGAGGTGGGGCAGACACTTCTATCCCAAGATTCCCCTCAATTAAAGCACAGGTAATCTGATAATCCTCCTCTAAGCCTTTTACGTTGCAAGTCTTCAGCAGGAAAAACGGTGTTTATATTTTACTACTCATGCATGAAAGTGCTAAAGCAGGATGAAACTAATGAAAACATGGGCTTCCATGAACTAACACAATCTATCAATCCTGTCATTTGTTTGGTTTACAATATTGTACATTGGACTAGTTTGTGCCTGTGACTTATTATTGAGCAACTTATGAAATTTTTTATTAACTATTCGAGTAACAGCCCAAACCTACCGTTAATAGATATTGTCTTCTTTGGGCTTTCCCTTTCATGCTTCCCCTCAAGGTTTTTAAAACGCGACTGCTAGGAAGAGGTTTCCACACCCTTATAAAGAATGCTTCGTTCTACTCCCCAACCAATGTTGGATCTCACAATCCAAACCCATTCGGAGCCCAACGTCATTACTGACACTCGTTTCTCTTTTCTTCAATCGATGTGAGTCCCCCCAATCCATCCTTCTTCGGGGCTCAGCGTCCTTGCTGGCACACCGCCTCGTGTCTACTCCTTTCAAGGCTTAGCCTCCTCGCTGGCACATTGCCCAGTGTTTGCCTCTGATACCATTTGTAACAGTCCAAGCCCACCGCTAGTAGATATTGTTCTGTTTGGGGTTTCCCTTTTATGCTTCCAACTCAAGGTTTTTAAAATGAGTCTGCTAGGGAGAGGTTTTCACACACTTATAAAAAATAATTCATTCTCCTCTCCAATCGACGTGGAATCTCACAATTTGCATTGGTTGATGGCAATGCATTGTGAACCGTTTTATTAGTGTGAGAAATCCGATCACCTAAAAAGCTACTTTAGGGACACATAGTACATGGTAGCAGTTTAGTTCTTTCTTGTGAGGTGGAGTAAGTGATGTATTATGTACTGTAGTTGTGAATTCCTTAGTTGTACTACAAACTTCGTCCAATGCGAAAGGATATCCTGCCCATTGAGCTTCATTTGCTAGATGTCATGAAGGAGAGGGACACCCTTTCGGTTGAGCAGAACGGATGCAGGATAGATACTTGAAGATAGTTGCAGTAATTTTTTAAATTTTTATTAAGACTATCTTTTGGTCAATGGTATTTCCCAATTGATTTCTGCTAAAGAACCAAGTGTGGTTAATGATCTTGTAACAATCTAAGTCCACCGCTAGCCGATATTGTTTTCTTTGGGCTTTCCCTTTCTGACTTGATCTCAAGATTCTTAAAACGCGTCTGCTAGGGAGAGGTTTTCACACCCTTATATAGAATGTCTGATGTGGAATCTCACAATCCACCCCCTTCGAGCTCAACATCCTCACTGACATTCGTTCCCTTCTCCAATCGACGTGGGACCCTCTAATCCACCCCCTTTGGGTCCCAGCATCCTTGCTAACACACCGCCTCATGTCCATCCCCCTTCGGGGCTCAGCCTCCTCACTGACACATTGCTCAATGTCTGGCTCTGATACAATTTTTACCGCCGAATCTCACTGCTAGTAGATATTGTCCTTTTTGGATTTCCTTTCAAGGTTTTTAAAACGCGTTTTCTAGGGAGAGGTTTCCACACCCTTATAAAGAATGTTTCGTTCTCCTCTCCAATCGATGTAGGATCTCATACTCCACTCCCCTTTGGGGCCCAGCACCCCTCTCCAACTGATGTGAGATCTCACAATCCACCCCCTTTAGGGCCCAACGCCCCTCTCCAACCGATGTGAGATCTCACAAAAATGAACCAAAGTTAAAGTACAGTACATTAGCATTTAAAGCCTTCATTTTATGAACGAAATGCTTTGTTCCTTACAAAAGAAGTACTAAATGTTGCTAGTTTTTCTGATTTCAACTCTACTTTTAGGTCTTATCTTTCATTTTAGAGCAGCACGATACACTAAACTGATGCTTTTCTTTTCTTTTTCTGAAAGATTTGGCTTCCATCAGCCCCCAATGAACAGTGTCAATCACCTACACCTCCATTGTTTTGCACTTCCTTACACTCCCAGGTAACCAGTTTCTCAGCTTTCACATTATCAACATATGCTTGGATATTGCTTCAAGAAATGCAAACAATATGGTTCTGAACCGAAACGGGGGCGTAAACAGGTGGAAGTTTGCAAAATACATATCATTGGGATCGATCGGATTCATCGAAGCTGAGAAGTTGTTGGAGAAAATAAAGCCTTAACTCACACACCAGATCACTTCAGCAGCAGTCAGTATGTGTTCTTTATTATTGTTCAATGCTATGAACAGCAGAAATGTTTGATATCTCTAACCAAAGTTGAGGCATCCATCTGATATGAGTCTATTTCTTCATTGAATCAAAGTTTGTGTGTCAATTTCTACAGGAATTGCTGTTTTTAGTATAGAAAGGCTTTGTTTTTGGTTTATTATTTTAATGGAATGTGAAGAAAAAGATGAACGTTTAAAATTGCTCATATTTTGTCTATGTACACCTAATTGAGTTGGGGCGGGTTGAGACAAGTTAAATAATGAACCCAACCCAACTCAATCCCAAGATATTTGGGTTGGGTTAGTTTAGGTTAATCGAGTTATTTATTTAATTTTTTTATTTTTAATAAAATTAAAATGCTAATTTATAAAATATTTGTTTATTTATTTTCAAATGATGAACGAAGAATAAGAACTCAATTTTAATAAATATTTTGAAATAATTTATGGAGATAAATAAAATTAAAAGAAGTATATGAGTATCATTAAAAAAATAAAAAATGAAAAATAAAATAAATTAGAGTGAGTTTAATTAAATTCAAACTCATTTTAAATATAATATTTATAAAAAAATAATTGTACACTCGCATTACTTTTTTTTTTTTATAAAAATCATCAACCATTAATTGATTTGCCAATTTTATTATATATATATATATTTCACAAAATAGGTAATTTAAATAATTTTAGAAATGAATTAAATGTCATGAAATAATTCACATCAAATTCATTTACTTAAACAAATTTACAATTAAATAAACCTTTATTTTAACTGTATTTGCAGCATTAAAGTCCTAAAGAGAAGGCTGAATGGGCCGACAAGAAAGCCCACGGAGCAGGCAGAAGGGCCCATGGGCCCAACGGCCCAATAAAGGAAAGAGTTACTGGGGATGGGCGGCACGTGTTTTGCTTCACCCTCCCTTGGCCGCAGCACGTTCGCCATTGTTGCTCCTCTCTTTAATCGATCGGTTCGGGAAACTTGCTCGCAAGCAAACTCATTTCCAGATTCTTTTTCTCTCTTCAATTTCATCTTCCTCTCTTGTTCCTGGTTCAATCTTCCAAGAATGAGTACGGGAGAACTCCTCAGCATCGAACCTCTCGAGCTCAAGTTTCCCTGTGAGTTCATCTTCTTTTGG